CGTTCATGTAAAAAACATGGGCAAACATAGCCAACATTTGTACATTCTGTGAAACCTGAGCCCTTGCAGTTTGCAGCAGAGACAGTAGGAACTGCAGATGCTGGAGAATCTGAGATAACAAGGTGTAGAGCTGGATGAACACAGCAGGCCAAGCAGCATCAGAGGAGCAGGAAGGCTGACGTTTCGGGCCCAGACAGAACTGTGTTTACAGAGTATTCAGTGGGTAACATTTGACAGATGGGCAACAGTGGAAACCTGATACTACTAACCATTGATATACATTATGCATTAGTTCACACAGCCATTCCTGAGTGAATTCTTTCTATTACATATGTGACGAAGTGACTTTGTCTTGTGAATCTGATTTAAAATGCAACATGTGCTGACCTACTAATGGAGCTACACCAAATCTTGTTTCAGGCAATTGAGAGAAAGAATACCACAGATAAATTCAACAGTGATGTTCACCTGAAAGCACAGTTAGACCAGCTGATGGGGAGAAATGAGGAACTTCGACAGGAGCTGAAAGAGGCTCGCAAAGAGGCTGGCATAGCTGGCAACCAGCTGGCAAAAGCTACTGAAAGGGTTCGTTCACTTAAAATCTGTATTAGTGACGTGCTTAACTACTGTATCCTGCCATTGGTTAGCACCATTACCTGGATGCTGGTTTGCGATGCAGTGTGATGTCAACACCATTTGATCAATTCCCACACCAGCTGAGGATACCAACAAGGACTCTCCTTCTCAACTTCTTCCCTTGCCTGTGACATAGTGACCTGCAAGTTAAACCACTACCCGTAATCTCCCTCCAATGAGAGATCTGTTAAGACTATGGTGTCTTTACCTTTGCCACCATTCACAACAGAATCAAGGAATTAATATGAAATAACTCTAAGGGTCAAAGGGTTGGTGGGGGGGTGGGGGTGGTGTAGAGATAGAAAATGTAAATTCACTGTGACATTATGGCTAAATTCCCAATGACAGTGACATTGGATTCTGCAAACTGGATCACGTAGGGTCAAAATTGCATGTGCCATTATATTCATAATTTCACATGAAATTCCTCTGTGCTCAAATTGGCATTCCAATTTAATTCAATGCTAATTTAAGTAAGTTGTCAGCATCAAATAACAGTCTTGTGTATCAGGTGAAGAAAAGTAATTTAGTCAGTTTCCTCAAATTTGCAACCTTGAAAGACGGAAATCCATTTTCCATTACCCTAACTGTCCTATATGAGAGTCCAGGCTCATAAGACTGTGGTTTTGAGTTTTAATTGCCCCCTGAAATAGCTGATCAAGCAGGTGTCTCATCACCACTTTCTCAGGAGCAACTGGGGATCAATAATTAATGCTGGTCTTATCCAAATCCGGAGAATAAATATTTAATAAAAGAAGAACAAGGGTAGCAGATGCATGAGAGGACCGTTATTTCCATGTTTCCTTCTAAGTTTCACATACATCTCAGCTATTCTTTCATCACTGCAGGGTCAAAATCCTGGAATTCCCTATCCAACAGCACTGTGTGCACATTTTCATCACACAGATTGCAACATTTCAAGATGGTGGCTTGCACAACTTTCCGGAGGACATTTGGGGATGGAAAAATAAATGCTGGATTTGCTAGTGCTGCTGAAACCCCATCAATGAAGTTCTAAAACAAATCCACTCAACCCTTCAGATAGATGTCTTTCTCTTTTTTTGGTAGATTACAAATCTGGAAAGTGAGCTAACTTTATTACGTCAATCTGGAGGATGCAGTGTTGTGTTCCAACCTCTTGCTCTGCCAGAAGGAATAGTACCCTCTAGTATTGATGTCATCAATACGCTGAATGAATATCTGGTGCAACTTCTACAGGTATGCAAATAAAACCCATTGAATTTAATAATTGATACTATATTCTAACACTTATTCTGTTTATAGAATCACAAAGAACATGAGGTCTGTCTGCCCATCAGGTCTATGCTGACCTATCTACACTAATCCCACATTCCAGCACTTGGCCCATAGCCTTGAATGATATGACATTTCATGTATTCACCATGTACTTTTTTATAAAGGTATTGTTGTTTCCTACCTCTTCTACCTTTCCAGGGAGTGCATTGCAGATTCCCACCACTCTCTGTGTGAAAACATTTTTCCTCAAATCCCCTCTAAACGTCCCCCTTAACCTTAAATGATGCTCCTTGTTACTAGCCTCTTAACAAAGGGGATTAGCTGCCATCTTTCCACCCTGTTCATGCCCCTCATATTCTTATACACCTCAATGGAGTCCCCCTCAGCATTCTCTCCTCAAAAGAAAATAACCCCAGCCTATCTGGCCTCTTTTATAGCTAAACTGCTCCAACCCAGGCAACCTCCAGTGAATCTCCCCTGCATCCCCTCCATTGCAAATACATCCTTCCTATACTGTTGGGCCAGAACTGCACTCCAGCTGTGGCCTAACCAATGTTTCGTGCAACTTGAACAAAGCCTCTCTGCTGTTATAATCTCTGCCACTACTGATAAAGGCAAGCATCCCTTATATTTTCTTAACCACTGTAATAACCTGTCCTGCTGCCTTCAGGGATCTGTGGACAAGCACCTCAAGACCCATCTGTTCTTCTGAGCTTCCGAGTGTCCGGCCATTCATTGGCAAGATTTTTATCTTATTTATGGCTTTTGATTTTTCTCTCTTCCACACGTAGAAACACCTTCCCTATGTCTGTCTGAAAACAGAAGATTAGCCATGATCTCAGTGGATAGTGGAGCAGCTGAATGGTCTACTTCTGATCTTATTTTTATAGCTGCTGTTTTTCAAACCCTTTCAAAATCTTTAAGACCCAGGACCCTGAAGGATTCTCATTTCGGTGATAAATGATTTCAAGTAAAGATAAAAGGCATTCTCACATGGCTGCCAGCAAAAACAAACTTAAAACTTTTGCCATTCGATGTTTTCTTCACTTTCTTCCTTTCTGTGCCATCTTCTCATTAAATCCCATTCAACTGTGTCTCTTCATGCTTAGAGAAGGCAAGATTCAAATTTTCCAAAACACGTACCTTGTTATATCTTTCAGAGCCAGGTGGTGAAGGATAGAACCAGATCCTAAGCTCTAAACATGTATAAGCCTTATTTACAGGGGACAAATTGCACTTCTAAACTTAACCAAGATAATTTCAGCCTGTTCATATATATTACTTTTTAATCAGCCTGTTTGGTCATTCTATAACACACCTCCTTGGCAGTTACAGTTTGCGCACAGACCTCCTGGCCTCAAGGTAGGGAAACTACTACTGCGGCACATATATGACCACAAGTGAATCCACATTTATGTCTATAACCTGAACCCAATTAAACGCTCCATTAATGTACAATTAATATACCTCATCCAAGAACAGTCAGATACATTGTGCACAAGAATCTCCCAGGATAGCTGAAGACGATGAACTGGAGTGAGCTCCATGAGTCACATGTTTTGATCATACTGTAAGGTGCAAACTGGGGCAGTTGGCTGGGTAATGATAATGTCACTGGACTTATAGTCTAGAATCTGAGGCTAATTGTCTGAGGACAAAGGCTTGAATGCCAACATGGCTGATGGTGAAATTTTAATTTGATAAAAATCTGTCATTAAAAAAGCTAATCTGATGGCAATCATGTAACTACAGTCAATTGTTGTGAAAAGCCACCTGGTTCACTAATATCCTTTAGGGAAGGAAATCTGCCATCTTTATCTAGTCTGGCCTACAGACCACAGCAAAGTGATTGACTCTTAACTGCCTGCAAGGCAATTTGGGGTAGGCAATAAATGCCAGTGATACCCACATCCCTTGAATGAATTTTAAAAAGTACTAGTAAGTGACTCATTAATTTATTGGCATCATAACAGGTAAAAGGCTCTGTCCTTAGCTTTTGTCAATAAATCTCTATATGATTCGGCATGAAAAGGTGTCTGAGAGATTTAACTTGATTCTCATTCTCATATTTTTTTCCAGTGGCCTTTTGCAAATTTTCTTTGTCCCAGATGACCACACTGTATGCAATGCCACTTCTAACCTATCTCTTTCTTTTATTCTTTCACAGTGTTATGAGACAGCACAGCAGAGGACCATTCAGTGTTTAGCAGAACTGTCCCATTAGTCCAGTACAGTAATGCTGGTTCCCAAGACCCATCCTTGCTTGGTTGCCCCTTACTAATTCTGCTGCTGTCAACTAGTTGAGTGATAAGATTAACCAGGTCAGCTCCTTTTATTGTTTAAGGTACTCAAAACTGCTCAGTTAAGTCAAAAATCTATTTGATGCTAAGTGCCCTCCACTGATAGAAATGTAGACATAATGCAGCACGTAAACAGACCTTCAATCCAACCAGACCATGCTAAACATAATCCCAAACTAATCTAGTCCCACCTGCCGGCCCCGGCCCATATCCCTCCAAATGTTTCCTATTCATGTACTTATCCAAATGTCTTTTAAAAGTTGTAATTGTGGCACTATGTAATTCTACCACTATGAATTTGCCTACTGCAGTACTTCAAGTACATACATTTTTAAAATAAGAGTAAGACCATAAGACATAGGAGCTGAAATTAGGCCATTCAGCCCATCGAGTCTACTCCACCATTCAATCATGGCTGAAAAGTTTCTCAACCTCATTCTCCTGCTTTCTCCCTGCAACCCTTGATCCCCTTGACAATAAAGAACCTATCTATCTCCATCTTAAATGTACTCAATGACCTGGTCTCCACAGCCTTCTGTGGCAGATGAATTCCATAGATTCACCACTCTCTGGCTGAAGAAGTTTCTCCTCATCTCTGTTCTAAAAGGTCTTCCCTTTACTCAAAGGCTGTGCCCTCGTGTCCTAGCCTCTCCTACCAATGGAAACATCCTGTATTAACCGTCCCTCTTTCTCATTGTCACTCGTTTATCCAGTGTGCTTGAACTTTGATTCCTAACTCTTTCCAAACACTCTGTTCTATTTGTGTCTGTGCTGGAGACTTTAATAACCTCTCCTGAGTTCTCCTTTCCTGTCATTTTTTTCATATTTTTCCATGCAGTTGAATCCACCCCTGCAGATGTTAACCTGCTGCTTTGTTTCCCACTGGGGGAAGTTTTACCCTTCCCTTCCACCCCCACTTTCTAGTTTAAAGTCCTGTTGACCAGCCTATTTACCCTTTTTGCAAGAACATTGGTCCCAGCTCACGTTTCCTCCCACCCTTTCACCAGCAAAGCTGTTTCCAGCAGATTCTTTTTGTTTGGTTATTTAGGAAATCTCAAATAAAGAAAAAGAAGGAAAAAAACTGCAAGAGGCTGCTGAAGATCACAAACGCAAGTTTGCAGTGATTCGTCATCAACAGGGATTGCTGTATAAGGAATATCAAAGGTATCCAAATGCAAATTATTCCTTGATTTAAGATCATTATCTTGTTCTAAAACTGTGCTTTGCATATATTAATTGAAACTGAGGTATGTGTGTGTAGCAAATGGGGGCCCTCTTGTGGCACAGTGGTATCAAGAACAAAGAGCAATACAGCACAGGAACAGGCCCTTCAAGCCTGTGCTGAAACATTTTTCCCTTCCATGTTAAAACTGGCTTCACTTACAGGATATGTATCCCTCTATTCTGTTCCTACTTGTGTATTCGTCCAGGTGCTTCTTGAATGCCGCTATCATGTCTGCTTCCACCACCACTTCTAGCAGCGCATTCCAGGCACTCACCACCCTTTGGTTGAAAAACTTGCCTCACACACCTCTTTTAAACTTTCACCCCCCACACCTTGAACCTGAGTCCCCTTGTAATTGACTTATCCACCCTGGGAAAAAGCCTCATACTTTCCACTCTATCCATGCCATTCAGAATCTTATAAGCTTCAATCAGGTCACTCCTCAACCTCCTGCGTTCCAGTGAAAACAAACCCAGTCTATCCAACCTTTCTTTATAGCTAAAATTCCCCATACCAGGCAACATCCTGGTAAGCCTTTTCTGTACCCTCTCCAAAGCATCCACATCCTTCTGGTAGTGTGGTGACCAGAACTGTATGCATGATTCCAAGTGTGGTCTAACTAAAGTTCTATAAAGCTGCAGCATAATTTGCCTATCCTTATACTCATTGCTCCTTCCAATGAAGGCAAGCATGCCATAGGCCTTTTTTACTACCTTATCTACCTGTGCTGCCACCTTCAGTGATTTGTTGACCTGCACACCCAGATCTCTCTGCATATCAATACTCCTATGTATCGTCCCTACCTTGGACTGGGAGGCCCAGGTTCAGGTCCTCTCAGATCCAGAAGTGTGTAATAATACCTCTGAACAGGTTAATTAAGAAAAATAGATTAAAAATAAAAACATTAATTGCGGTAAAATCATGAGTTGCCATTTCAGAACTGATCAAAGTTCATCTTGATCTGAAATGCTGACCCTGTTTCCTTTGATACAGTGAGACCAACATTTCCAATGTTCTTGATTTTTACTGTACTTCAAATGTCCAACATTCATAGTATTTTGCTTTTGCACCTATTTAAATGTTGGTTTTGTAAATTAGAAGTAAGCATCTTTATTAGCAAATACAGTTCAATTGTACCATAAATAAATTCCCATACATAATCCTAACAGCAACAGTGGAACCGAGCAAATTAATTCCACTATTGGTTTTGAACTTCCCTGACCAGAAGACATAAGAGGAATCAAACTATTCGGCCCATCGTGTCTCCACCATTTATTAATGTCAGATATGTTTCTCAAGCCCATTCTCCTGCTTCCACTCTCTAACCCTTGATCCCCTTATTAATCAAAAACCCATCTATCTCTATTTTAAATACACTCAAAGACTCGGCCTCCACAGCCCTCTGTGGCAATGAGTTCCACAGATTAACCATCCTCTAGCTGAAGAAATTCCTCATCTCAGTTGTAAATGGTCATCCCTTCACTCTAAGCCTATGGCCTCGGGTCCTAGTCTCTCCTACTAGTAGAAACATCATCTTCGTGTCGCTGTATCCAGGTCTGTCAATATTATGTAAGTTTCAATCAGATCCCCCCCTCATCCTTTTAAACTCTATCGAATATAAACCCAAAGTCCTCAATCACTGACAATCCCTTCATTCCCTAGATCAATTTTGTAAACCTCTTTTGGATCCCATCCCAATGCCAGCATATCCTGCCTTAGAAATGAGGCCAAAACTGTTCATAATAATCCAAATGATGTCTGACCAGAGCCTAATACAGCCTCAGTACTGCATTTCAGCTCTTGTTTCTAGCCCTCTTGAAATGAATGCGAATGTTACATTTGTTTTCGTAACTGCCAACTGAACCTTAAGAGAATGCTGAACTAGGACTCCCAAGTGCCTTTGTGAGTAGGATTTCCAAAGCCTTTTCTGTTTGGAAAATAGTCTACGCTTGTATTCTTCCTACCAAACTTCATAACTTCACATAACCTTCGTCCAGATCATTAATGTATAATGTGAATAGTTGTAGTCCCAACACGGACCCCTGTGGAACGTCAGTAGTTACCAGCTGCCATCGTAAAAAAGACCCCTTTATCTCCATTCTCTGCTTTGTGCCAGTCAGTCAAACCTTTATCTGTGCCAGTACCTTGCCTCTAACACCATGGGCTCCTATCTTATTTAGCAGCCTCCTTGTTAAAAGCCTGCTAGAAATCCAAATATATCATGTCCACTGGCTCTCCTTTGTGTAACTTGTTCATTACGTTCTCAAAGCTGACTAAGCTGTATTTTAACTGTGAACTTCCAAGTACTCCAGAATATCGTCCTTAATAATGGACTCTGAAATCTTACCAATAACTGAGGTCCCCGGAAGGGTAGGGGCTTTTAGTTGTGACAGGCAGCATGTCGGTGCAGGGTTGGAGGGCTGACCGGCCTGTTCCTGTACTGTAATTTTCTTTGTTCTTTGTTCAGGCTAACCTGCCAATAGTTTCCTGTCCTTTGCTTCCCTTCATTCTTAAACAGGGGTGTTACATTCCTCTGGGACTGTCCCTGACTCCAGTGTTTCTTGAAAGATCACCCCCAATGCCTCCACACTGTCCTCAGCCATCCCCTCCAGAACCCTGGGGTGTAGTCCATCTGGTCTGGGATCCAATTATTCAGCTCAGACCTTTCAGCTTCTCCAGTACCTTCTCCTTAGTGACGGCCACTACATTCACTTCTGTCCCTTACTATCTTGAAGTTCTGGTATGCTGCTGGTATATTCCACTGTGAAAATTGATACAAAGTACCTACTCAATTCCTCCACCTTTTTTTATTCTAATTACTGCTTCTCCAGCTTCAATTTCCAGCAGTCCAATGTCCAATCTTGCCTCTCTCTTACCTTTTAAAAAAAACTCTGGGAATCTTCTTTTGTATTACTAGCTAACTTACTTCATATTTTGTCTTCTCCCCACTTATTGCTTTTTTAGTTAACCACTGATGGTTTTCAAGGCTTTCCAATCCTATAGCTTCCCACTAAGCTTCATTACATTATACTCTTTCACATTTCTGCTGTCCCAAGTCAGCCATGGTTACCTCGTTCCTCCCTCCCCCACCCACCCTAGCACATCTCTTCTTCCTTTGCCTTAATTACTGCTTTGCCTCCTGGGTTCCCCCAGAAACTCCTGTCATTGCTGTTCCACCATCACTTCTGCTGGGCTGCCCTTCCAACCAACTCTGGCCAGCTCCTCCCTCATGTCTTTGTAGTTACCTTTACTCAATTGTAATGCCATTACATCTGATTCCAGCTTCTCCCTTTCAAACTGCAGGGTGAATTCTATCATATTATGGTCACTGCCCCTAGGACTTCCTTCACCTTAAGCTCCCTCATCAAGTCTGCCTCATTATACATCACCAAATTCAGAACTGACAGTTCCCTAGTGGACTGTCCATAAGCTGCTCCAAAAAAAAGCTCATAGACATTCCATAAATTCCTTTACTTGAGATTCACTACCAATCTGATTTTCCCAGTCCATCTGCATTATAAGTCCAGCACTTCCTTAATCTTTCCTGGTATTTTAATAGGGATTAACCATAAAGGACACTGCTACAAGGTAAAAAAGTTGCACCTGGAAGGGTAGTTTTACCAGCAGTTCTTTGTGACAGCTCACCGAGGCTGTCACTATGGCTCCAATCACCATGTCTCAAGAATCTAACCCTAATCGGGAAGTTAACCAAATGAGAGGAGCCTAGGAGTAATGACTGAACAGTTGCAGGTTTCTAGACATCTCAATTACAGAAGGTGAAAAAGACATTTAATATTGCATCGGTGATTGCTTGAATAAACAATGGTCACGCTTGTAATTCAGGAATGGAAGCATGGGTGAAAATCTTTTAAATGGTATAAGCCATTTGATGCCATAACTAAATTATTGTTACTGATGGCTGTTGTGAATAGTGAAAGGAAATCCTGGCAAAGGGATATTGAAAAAATTGAAGAAGAAAAGAAAAAGCTTGAGGATTTAAAGCAACAAGATCAAGTGAAAATAGAGGAATACAATGTAAGTATTCTACAAATGTCTAAACGTTAGTGCACAGGTACTAAAAGAGATCAAAAAGCCTGATGGAATGTTGACCATTAATTCATGGAGGTTGGAGAGGAAGTGAAGTGATATTTCAGTTCAACAAAATCTTGTACAAAGTTTTGGTCAGGTTCTATTGGGAGCTCTGATTTGGGTTCTCAACCTTATGACAGGTATCTTAGCTTGGCATAGTTAAGATTCATCAGAATATTACCAGTCTAAATTGTGAACGCAGATTGCCTCAGCTTGCCCGGCATTTTCTTGAGTGTTGAAGATTGAGGGGTGATCTAATCCAAGGTGTTAAAAACAATTGGAGGGTTTGATACACTCAAAATAAAGATTTTTTTTTACTGGGGGAGACTGGAACATATGGGCATATCCTTATTTAGAACTAGACAGTCAAGAAATGAAGTCAGGAAATAAATCCCCACACCACCAAGAAAATACAACATTATTGTGCAAATGCATGTCATATAATATGGATGTGCAAATTGCAGCACCGGTTTTTGGGCCCCTCACATAAGGCTCCAAAATGAATGGAAGGAAGCCCAATATCAGGAGCACCTTGGACAACTTTGACAAAAGGTAAATGGCACGTGCCCCTTGATCCTGAAGTTGTAGGCTCTTCTTAGAAAAGTTTTGTTTCTGCCTGCAGGAAATTATGAAATGTACTGTGCGACTGTGTAACTGTTTTCCACCTCTAAATTAGCAACTACTAGAAACACTTCAGGTAGATCCAGATGAAATGAAGAAGAAGCTTGCAGGGCTTACTAGCAAGTTAACTGTGCTGCGGGTTAATGAAAGTTCCTTAAGAAGGCGTTATACGACCCTGATGGAAATGGAACAGCACCTAAGGAAAGAAAATAACAAGCTCAAGAATGAAATAATAGCCATGGAGGCAGCAGTTAGTGAAAGAATTGGATACCTGCAAAGATTCAAGGTAATCATTGATTATTTGCACTCAGGCTTTAAAACAGAACCTGACTCCTTGGCTAGAAACACTGCAGAAAAGTTCATGATGTCCAGAGAACAAGACTAGTTTTATCGATTCATTTCTGCCATAGGTTTCTCCTGAATGCTGTGCTATCAGTCAGTTTCGATAATTGGTTTGTGTCTTACTCACATTGACATATCTCAAACTTGTACACCTTCATTAAATGAGAGCATACCAGTGCTACTGCCTAGTCAGTTTTCTTGACACCCTCACCCGAGCTTCTTTGTTTTGTTTTTCCAAAACCGGGCCCTTTATATAATTGCATAATTAACCTCAGAATGGGGGATCTATTTACCTTTACAGTTCCAGAATGCAGATTAGTGGCAACATTCATTTAAGATTTCTACATGGCTTAGGAGTCCCTGTTGTGCATGTTGAGGTTCGTGTTCACAAAATATTTGAAAGAATTTACCTGTTATACTTAAGGAAGGAATAGAAATGTTACTGAAGTATCACAATGCTAAAATAATAACTTTTAAAAAGCTACCATCATCATATAAATATGTGAATTAGTACCAGGAGTTGGCCTACCTGGCCTGGTCCACCGTTTAATCTGATTATTCCACATTTCTGCTTATCCCCAATGATCTTTGAATCCCTTGCTAATCAAAAATCTGTCTACCTCTGCCATAACAATTCTGAGATCGGTGAATATTTTTATGATATAGAGGAAGGCCAGTTGGGTCATTGTGTCTGTATTTGCTGTCTGAGCATTTTCACTTATTGCCACTCTCCTCTTTTCCCCTTAACTGTGCACGTTGTGTCTGTTGAAATGATTATCCAGTGCCCTCTTGAAAACCTCCATTGAACCTGCCTCCACCACGCTTACGAGCAATGTGTTCCAAACCCTAACTGCTTGCTTTGTGAAAACAGGTTTTTGCTCGCTTCACGTTTGCTTCTGCAAACATTTTAAAACTGAACCATCTGGTTCTTGATCCATTTGTGAGTTGTAACAGTTTCTTCCTATTCATTCTGCCCAGACCCTCATTGTTTTGAAAACTTTTATCAGATCTTCACTTAGCCTTCAGAAATCCCAACTTCTCTAATTTTTCCTCATAACTGAAGTGTCTCATCCTTGGAACTGTTCTCATAAACATCACAAACTCTCAATTTGCTACCACTGCCTTTTGTGAAAGAGAGTTCCAGAGACTCTCAAAAAAAAATTGCTACTCATCGCTGTCTTAAATAGATGAATCTTATTTTTGAGCAGTGACCTCTAGTTCTAGATTCTTTCCAAAAGGAAATATCCTTTCTACATCCAGGCCTGGTCTGCTGTGTTCTTCCAGCTCCACACCTTGTTATCTCAGACTCCAGCATTGGCAGTTCCTACTATCTCTTTCTACATCCATGCTGTCAAAGCCCCTCAGGAACTTAAATGTTTCATCATAGCTTATTAATTACCAACTTCACTCTGAGCTGTTGTGTTTTAATATAAGCAGAGGATAACTTTTTTATATAAGAAATGTTTGTGGTGTTCACCTGTTTGTTGTTTAATCTATTTCTAGGACATGGCTAGTTTTAAAATTGCTGCGTTGCAGAAAGCTTTGGATGAAAGTGCACCTATATCAGACCTGGAGCGAGCTAATAAGCAATACAATGAACTCACAGCTAAGTATAGAGATCTGCTGCAGAAAGACAACCTGTTAGTCCAGAAAACCACTAACCTAGAACATTTGGAGGTAAGCAAATATTGCAAATTTTAATTTAGTTTATAATAACTGAGGTAAATTATTTTCACTTTTGTTTCTTGAACATCATAGGGAAATAGTCACTTGGTAGTTCAGAACATGAATATCGCTGAACAGAGAGACACGTTGCCAAAGCTTTTCATCACATTCTCATCAAGACAAATGCAAGAATGCCTAAGTTCAAATGATTGCAACAAGTTAAACAACAGGAGAAAGGAATGCTGATTATTTGGCAAGTCAATTATAATTGGCCAAGGCATTGCTACGAAGAAACCATCGGGGAGCTATGTGGTCCTCAAGCTCCAGTGTAATTCAAAAAAAGCAGCAAGGTTTGAACATGTTCCCTTGTTTGCAGAGAATGGATCCTTGTGCATGAATATCTGTTGCTTATGATGAGCGTAAATAAACCACATTACAAGCTTGACTAGTTACTGTTAGATATGGTTTTTTGATTGGACACTACTTTCTAAACAACAGTGCCAATAGCTTCAATAATTTACAATTTGAGGTATCTGGTCAAGGACATAACATGACTCATTTATGCCTGGTAGAAACAACGTGGATTCATGCACAAGGACCTGTTCTCTGAAAGCAAAAGAGTATGTTCAATAAAGGCAAAATACTGCAAATGCTGATAATCTGAAACAAACACTCACAATGGTGGAGAAATAGATCTTACAGCATCTGTGGCGAAAGAAATAGAGTTAATGTTTCAAGACCGATGTGACTTCTTCAAGCCTTGGTTCCTTTTTGAGTTATCTGGGAGCTTGGGAGCCTGTAGTGTTCTGTTGTTTTCACCATGCCAATTTGAGTTGTCCTGCGTCAGGCCAATCAGCAAGCATTTCCCCCTCATATAAATTGTTGCAATCAAATCTTGCATTTATACTAATGAATGCAAGATGAAAATATTTCTGTTTTCAGTAATATAGGTAAAGGTGTGTAAGCAATACATAAAGGGTATTGCTGATGCATTATTCAAAAAGATGATGTGGAGGTGCCGGTGTTGGACTGGGGTGGACAAGGTCAGAAATCACACAACAGTAGGTCATTGTCCAACAGGTTTATTTGAAAGCACAAGCTTTCAGAGCCTCACTCCTTCTTCAGGTGTTAGTGAGAGAGGTAGTATCAGACGCAGAATTTATATGTAAAAAATCAAAGGGTCATACCACTGATGAGGATGTATTAAACAAACCTAAGACGCTGTTAACTCACTCAGAGATAATAAGAACTGCCGATGCTGGAGTCAGAGATAACACAGTGTGGAGCTGGAGGAACACAGCAGGTCAGGAGTATCAGAGAAGTAGGAAAGTTGATGATTCGGGTCGGGACCTTTTTCTCAGAAAGTCCCCTGAAACGTCAACTTTCCTACTCCTCTGATGCTATCTGACTTGCTGTGTTCCTCCACCTCCACACTATGTTATCTAAGATGCTGTTAAATCTTTAATCAGTTGAAGGTTTTAATTGATTCATGTATATATGTAAATCCCCAAATTTCTTTCAAGTCACTGTCCTGAGAGAAGTAAAGGTTTTATCAGTGTAAAGAAGAGGTGACATTTTAGGATAGACAAAATGCATGTTAGATGTGAGGCCTTGTTTAGAATCTGGTTGTGTTTTGGTTTGGAGTCAGACTTGTTTTATTTCTAAAGTAGGAATTTATAAAACGCCACAGGATACGGTGCTCAACTCTTCGATTGCTGTGCCACAGCTAAAAACTGTAATGACCTCCTCAAAAGACCGACACAGGATAGGTCCAACAGGGTACCCTTTGTCATCCAGTACTTCCTGAGAGCGGAGAAACTACGCCATGTTCTTTGCAGCCTTCAACACATCGTTGATGACGATGAGCATCTCGCCAAGATCTGCCCCATGCCTCCACGTCTTGCCTTCAAACAACCGCCAAACCTTAAACAGACCATTGTTTGCAGCAAACTACCCAGCCTTCAGGACCACATTGACCACAACACTATACAACCCTGTCATGACAACCTCTGCAAGACATCTCAGATCATCGACACGGACACCGCCATCACACGTGGGCACACTGCCCACCACGTGCACAGCAGATACTCATGTGACTTGGCCAACATTGTCTATCTCATACGCTACAGGCAAGGATGCCCCGAGGCATGGTATATTGGCGAAACCATGCAGACGCTCCGACAACGGATGAATGGACAGACAGGGACATTCCCTCCCAATGGGGGAACACTTCAGTGATCAAGGAGATTTGACCTCGGATCTTCGGGTAAACGTCCTCCAAGGCGGACTTCGGGATACACAATAACGCAGAATTGCCGAGCAGAGGCTGATAGCCAAGTTCGGCACCCATGAGGACGGCCTCAACCAGGATCTTGGGTTCATGTTGCATTACAGGTGACCCCACCACATTATACACTCTCATGCACACACACACAAGCGCATGCACTCTCCCCCACACGCGCACACGCACTTTTTCTCTCTACATACGCACGCACACATATAAATCTATGGGGTGAATTTGTATTTGCAGATACATTCTATTTTGTTCAAAAATCGTACAATTTATAGACAGTCAGTCAATGTGGCATTTTATAATTCCTACTTTAGAAATAAAACCAGTCTGACTCCAAACCAAAACACAAACAGATTCTAAACAAGGCCTCGCACCTAACATGCATTGTCTGACCTAAAATATCACCTCACCTTTACACTGATAAAACCTTTAGTTCTCTCCAGACAGTGACTTGAAAGGAATTTGGTGATTTACATATACATACTAATGAATTAAAACCTTCTAACTGATTAAAGATTTAACAGCATCTTAGGTTTGTTTAATATATCCTCATCTGTGGTGTGACCCTTTGATCTTTTACTTATAAATTCTGTGTATGATACTACCTCTCTCACTAACACCTGAAGAAGGAGTGAGGCTTAGAAAGCTTGTGTTTTCAAATAAACCTGTTGGACTATAACCTGTTGTTGTAAAATAAGATGAGCAGAGTTGCTTTTTTAATTTTTTTATAAAATGAAAACATTTGTGTTCTGTCTTTGGGAAATGAGCCTTTCAGTAAGTGTTGGTTGTATTCAGTGGGGTGGATGTCACTTTTACTGCCTGGCTGCTAAAGAAGGGAATGGATTGGGAATATTGTCCACTTGTTATATACCATATGTAATTATTCTTCCATGTATATGTACGAAGTGGGAGCAGAAGTAGTCTATTCAGCCTTCAAGTCTGTTCCACCATTCAATAAGATCATGGCTACATTTCGAATTCCCATCTACCCTGGATAACTATTGATTCCTCTGCCTAATATGAATCTATCAACCTCCACCTTAAAAGTATTCCACTGATTTAAATGGTTCTGTTACTAATGTGCAATGCCTTGCTTGATTTTCCTTTCTACATTCTACAGAAGACCAGAATATTGTGCCCACTTCTGGTCACCTCATTTTAGGAAGGATGTGAGGGTCTTTGAGAGAATGCAGAGAAAGTTTACCAGAACAGTTCAAATCAAAATTTGAATACATTTCAGAATAGACTACAAAGACAAAGCTGTTTGCTATTTGTTTGTTTCTGGACATAATGTTCAGTGCTACTGAACAGTTGAGATTATTGGCAGAGATGCTAGCAATAATGAGGGCTTCAAAGCAAAACTAAAAAGAGTTCAATATGTCACAACATGTTTTTCTTTAAGGGTGAAAATACAGTGCTACGTGAGCAGATCAGTACTTTAAACAAGGAGTTGGAAATTACAAAGGAAAAGCAGCACACATTGGAGCAAGCCTTAGAAGAAATACAGAAACTAGGCAAGTGGCATATAATTGTGACAAACTCAATTTATTTCAAATACAAATGTATATCCATGTTGTAAGAGTATTATATGTCTCCTGTTTAATTTGATGTCCAACATTTCATAGAATCCCTACAGTGTGTGGAAACAGGCCCTTTGGCCCAACAAGCCCACACCAACCCTCGGAGCATCCCAACCAGATGCATCCCCTTATAACCCACCTAATCTACACATCCCTGAACACTACGGGCAATTTAGCATGGCCAATCCACCTATCCCTAGATGCCTTTAACTACTTCTGCCCTTTGCTGTTGCAGTAGTGGTCTGGACAATTCCAAGATAGTAAGTTGACTTGAAAGAAATTCACAAGGTGATAATATTTCCACAAGGAATTTCTTTTTCCTGCTGATATAGTGGATACTGCTGATACAGGCGGGTGATGGTATTTAAATAACTTGGACGAGATTTTAGAAAATATTCTGGTTGTCCTGAAAACTGCACTCAGTGATGGCAAGGAAAGATCCAGAGGAGTGAATTGATCAAAATGCTGTGTCCAGCAATCATAGTGTTGAACTTGAATGTTGTAGTGGCTGCAATTAATTGTCACAGAATTGTCTCATGTCTGCACCAGCTCTCTGAATGAGCATTATGACTTAGCGTGACCCTCTTGCCTATTCCTCTGTGCAATGTTTCTCTTCAAATAATCATTTAATGTCCTCTTTAATACCTCGATTGAACCTGCCTACACACTTCCAGCAACTGTATTCTGGATCCTAAATTACTTGCTGAATGAAAAGATTATTTTCTCACGTTGCATTTGTTCTTTTGCAAATTATTTTAAATCTGTGTTCCCCCGCCCCACCAGCTGTTGATCCTTTAACAAGTGGAAACTGTTTCTGCTTTGCATCCAATCCAAGGAAAACAGACCCAACTTCTCCAATCAGTCTTCATTACTGAAGTTCCTCATCCCTGGATCTATTCTTGTAAACCTGTTACTCGTTCTCCAATGCGTTCACATCTTTCCGAAAGTCTAGCATGCAAATCTGCACACAGTACACCAGCTGAGATCTATCTATTCATCAGACTTGTTCAGCCTCTAGTCAATGATGACTCTTAGAGACTGTGCATTGAATGTAAAAGATAATGAATGTCTGGGATTAAGGAAAGAAATACATGACAAGTGAAGAGGTGATGTGATGGTCTGGTGGTAATGCCACTGGACTACTAATCTGGAAACCCAGACCAGTGGTCTGAGGCATGAGTTCAAATCTCACAGTGGCTGATGGTAAAATTTTATGAACATCATGGCATAATGGTAATGTCAGTGGACTAGAGATTCAGAGAGCCCAAAGTCATGCTGTGGGTTCAGATCCCACCATGGCAGCTGATGGAGTTTGGTTGAATAAGTCAGCAATTTAAAGCTAATCTCTGTCCTGATAGGAAATTATGACAAGTGATGAGGTTGTTGCGGTGTAGTGGTAGTGCCCATAGTTCTGAGCCAGGAGATCTGGGTTCAACTGCTTCAGAGGTGTGTAATAACATCTAGTTGATTAGAAAGTATCCATGACAAGTGATGGACAGGAAAAAATGCCAGTTATCGCACATATTATGCATTCCCCAATATACACAGAATCCTTGTAGCCTCTGCAATAGGTGTAAGACTGTATAAATATCGAGGTCTATTAAGTGAGCAGGGAGTTGTAAAATTCCTGCCTGATCTCCGAGCATTATTAAGACTCTCCAGCTAACCAGTGATAATCATTAGTTGTCATTTATATGGTGTATTTTTTGCCACTTGCCAGCTCAGGTCTGCATGTTACCAGATTCTGTTGTAAGCCAACATGGGCTGCCTCATTATTGATGGTTCTAAACATTATTAATTTATCAGCTGTTGCACTGTGTGTTCTGGAGATCCAGCAGCCCTGTGAGAATAAGAACCATCAGAGTAACAGCTAGGCTATTTAGTACTGAGATGAGAGGGTGATGAAACTTTGGAGTACCTGCCCCAGAAAGCTGCGGAGGCTCAGTCATTGAAAATGTTCAAAACAGATATTTCTGGTTATTAAAAATATGAGGCAATATGGGAATAGTGTGGGAAATGGCTTTGAGATAAAAGGTCAGCGTAATCCAGTCAAATAGCTACATCAGCTTAATGGGCTGAATGGCCCACTCTTACTCCAGTGCTCCTATGGAACATGGAATGAATTTTGGTGAACAAGCCATTAGTGAGTAGGCATCGCTTAATGACACCACCCATTACAAACAGGGTGGTGCTGATTAGGTTCAACTTATCTAGTTTCTTCTGTTTACATAACATTTATAGGAAATTTTCCATACTATCAGGTAAATCCCAGTTTTGTAGCTCTTATTTGTATGGCTTGACTGTGAGAGCAACTATCTATAGTGCATGTCTTCAACATTCTGGCTGGAATCCTGTCAGAGCTGGTATCTTTGTGGGTCCAGTGTACTCAAATGCTCAAATGACATGATGTAAGCCAAATTGGACGTGGGCTTCGAAGAAAGTCTGGATCAAAGGAGGAGCTGAGTACAACCATACACTTGATACTTTTCACTGGAGATGTTTTCGAACACTAAACTGAAGCCCAGAATGCATGTGCAAAAGATAAGGCTCATTGGAGTTGATATGATGTGGATGCTCATGGAACCACTACCTGTATGCAATGCCACCATTCTTGACTGAGCGTTGTAGGATATATATAGGGCCTAATTGATTGATAGCAATTCACTGTATTGCAGGTTAGATAAATTCTATTGTGTTTAGGGCTCATATGGTACAGTGGTAGTGTCCCTACCTCCGGGATATAAAGTTGGGGTTCAAGTCCCATCTGTGCCAGTCATTTATTATAACATGTCTGAATAGGTTGATTAAAAATATCAAAATTCTATTATGTTTGAGTAGTCAGGATAGATAACACTTTCAGGTTTTCTATTCTGGGCTAACTTATAAACCTAATAAAGGAATTTAAGGGTTTTAGTTTTATTTTAGGAGGTCCAACTGCTATGGATAAAGAAACAAAGGCAATTACCAACAGTGAAATTGTGTCCATCTCCAAGAAGATTACCATGCTGGAAATGAAAGAACTAAACGAACGACAAAGAGCGGAGCATGCTCAGAAGATGTACGAACATGTGCGTGACACGCTCAAACAAGTTGAAGAACGAAACTTGGAGCTTGAATCCAAATTCTCTGAAGTATGTTGCACTTATTAAATATCTATTTGTGTGTAAAACTAGTTATAATAAACATGTTTGCATTCTGGCCAAACATTGTAACAAATACAAACTACCTTACCACACCGTGTGAAAATAGTTTCAGAGAGCCATTGTTAGCTCAATTGGCAAAATGGCTTTCCTCTGTATTGTAAATTTCTGTGATTGCCTAAGTTTTTATTCTTTTTACATTTGCCTGTAGCAAATTTTTAATAATCTGTCGATCTGCTGTTGGGCAATTGCTTGCTGTTTCCTAACAGTTCAGGAACAAACTTGGTGATCGGTAATTTCCAAAAGTGTTGTTCAATTCATTTTTGGGTTGTTCCCATTTGTTGACTGGTAGTCTTTTCATACCTGAACATTTTATCATCTAATCTTTATTGTTTGCACAAAGAATTGTGGCTTCTGTTTACTTGTTCTTTAGTGATATTTGCTCTATATACATTTTTAAGGTGTGAAGTCCTACGGAGCACAGGCTACATACGAATATAACATACAAAGGAGCAGTAGTAGGGCATACAATCAGTAAGATCATAGCTGATCTTCAACCTCAATTTCAGTTTCTCTTTCACTTCCACTATTCCTTGGGGCCCTTTAGAGCCCAAAATCTCAGCCTTGAAATATACTCAATGACTGAGCATCCACAGTTCACTGGTGTACAAAATTACAAAGATTCAGGCTCTTTGAGAGAAGGATTTTCTGCTCGTCTAAAACATGACTGTCCCTTATTGTTGTATCATTGTGGCATTGGACTTCTTGCTTGCTGGCTGGAGAGTCAGTGAGGGACTTGTGCTGCCACTTTTCGGGAAGACCTACCGGACCGCAGGCAATGGTGAAGCCACCAGCAGGGCTCCTCCTGGAATAAGGCAGAAGTCTTCCCAACTTGAGCTGTTGACCAAACAACAGCTAGCTGCTGTTGTGCTCAACAGCACCCTGTGGCTGCTGCTGGTAGGATAACTCCCAGAATCTCAGGATTATAGAGGATCCAGGCCGCAGATAGGTAATGCAGGGTTGAGGTTAAAGGAGAGGGGGTTGAGAAGCAAGCTAGCCCACTGATACTTACCCCTTGCCCAGACATTAATTGCCTCTGTTCAAAGATACCTTCACCATGGAGGCAACAAGTAACCCCTACAGTTTCATGATGCGCATGCTACATGGCAACAGGTCCACCTGAAGCTGGGTTAATCAAAATAGTTGTGGGTTGAGGCTCTTAAATCATTATCAATTGTCCACCTAAGGGAGTCGGTTGTCAGCAAGATGGGAAAGTTCACCATTGTCCTTCCTGTCGAAAGGTTAATCTGGCCAATGTGGTAAAGCATTTGGGATCAGGCACATCACCTCCCCACCTAATCAAATGTCCTTCAGCCTCCAAACTCACCACCACCGAGAGCAGGAGACTGTTTCCACCACCACCATCCCACCACCCATGAGCTCTAGTTCTAGACTCTTTGTCTTTAGCATGTAGATTCTCACCTTACATCTATCCTGTCAAGTCTTCTCAGAATCTTTCATGGTTCAATGAGAGCCCTCCTCCTCCTCTTCAATTGTAGAAAATATGGGCCAATATCTACTCGTAGCCAAATCCTTGTACTATTTCAGAAAGCCAGTTAGTGAAATATAGACCTGAAGCCTAATCTTTACACACTTCATATCCTTTTTTTAAAAAGGTATGCATTATAAACTTGAATCTCCAAATCTAACTACCACAGTTTCAGTCCGTTCTGATTTCCACTTTGTATCCCACAGCTGAATGCAGTCGCACACTTGATTACAATATAATTTTGAAATCTGAAATTTTGTCTATCTTCTGCCTTTCTAATCCGAATAGCCTCATCTGCTCAAAAATACTAACTTGAACACTCAGTTCAAGTCATTGGCTTTGCTGCTCTCAAATTAAACACTAGGGACTGATTTTTCATCTGGTTGTGGAGCATTTTGGTGCATGATTGCCTCTCTGATTTTGTGTATGCATGAAACCCAATTTTCCTAAACATTCACAAGACTGTGCCGTTTTCCTTTGGCTGTTTGTTGCAAAATGCACATCCACCTCCTCGAGATCACATTCCCCATTGTAACTGGGGAAATGAAAACCTGAGTTCCACACAAACTATATTCCCCTGGTGGAGCAAAGGTTTGGAAGCCCATTTAAAGTACACCAGGTTTTGACAGTCTTTGACAAAACCTATTAAGAAGTTGGGAACATTCTGTGGAATGAGATGGTATGGGGTGATTTAGGAACATAGAGGTGACTTGGTAATCTGAAGGCCATGGGATGTGTTGGAAGGGTATTGAGTTGAATAAGGGTGAGTTTTATGGGTCTGTAAACCATGCAGCTAGTTGGTCTGCTGTGTTGGAGAACCATGGTGGGCATTCTAATCAACTCAATTCCTCGCCCAAGTTTCTCTCACACCCCATTGCAACTTTCAGAATGCACTGCAAGCTTGATCCCTAATGAAAAGATGTACTTCCCTTGTAAAGTCATGTGTGTTGAGTGTGCATTCGCAAGCCATGCAGATGCGCAAGTCAGGTTTTCCTGAGTCCAGTCCTAGAAGCCCGCAAAGGCAATGAAGCTGCTGAGTTCAGATTTTAATTTGTAGAAGAATCCGCTTTCCATTTGGCAGATGTTTTAATAGAATGTTTTAATAATCTTGTCTCACTTATAATACTACCGCATCTTGAAAATCACACTCCGGACAGTTAAACTCGAAGTCCAGGCTGACACTTCAGTGTGGTATTGAGGGAGTGCGGCACTGTCCAGGGGTGCAGTTAAAATGACATCCTATCTATCCTCTCAGGCAGGTTTAAAATATCCCACAACACTGTTTTGAAGTTATCCTCCATGTCCTAGCCAATATTTATTCCTCACATCACAGAAACAGATTACCCAATCATTATCATATTCCTGTATGTGGGAGCTTGTGTACAAATTGGTTGCTATTTCCTACATTTCCACAGTGACTGCATTTCAAATGCTTTGAAACAGACGGTCAGCTGGTCATTTATTTCATTCGCTTTTTTTATATGTTATCCCTGAGCTAACATCTCTAAAATTAATTAACCCATTACTGTTTGGGGAGCTATGCTGTGAGCAAAATGGTTGCCCCATTTTCACTAGATTACAATTTTAAATAATACTTAATTGACTGTAAGATTTCTTGGAATGCCCTAAACTGTGTATATGTTAGTCTTTTACTATTATCAAGATGTGAAATTTATTCTATGCTAATGCAACAAAGTTATTGATAGATGTGTGTTTCATTCAAGGTTGCAAACTTGTGAATCACTTTCATGTGAAATTTTTTTTCTAAACAGTGAATGGGATATAAAATGAATTTTTGTCTTTTTTATGCATGTCTGTTTTGCAGCAGTTTTCTTGTTTTTATTATCCATTATCTACAAGTCATAAGTCAGTAGTGTGATGGAATACTTTCCAGTTGCCTAAATGGGTACTACTCCAACATCACTCAAGAATCTGGACACCATTGGAATTGGCAACCCCATGCACCACCATCAATGCACAGTGGCAGCAGTGGGTACCGTTTACAAGATGTACTGCAGGAACTCACCAGGGTCCCTTGACAACACTTTTCAAAATACGACGTTTACCATCTGGATGGACAAAGGCAAAAACTACATGGGAACACCACCACCTGCAAGTTTCCCTTCAAGTCACTTCCTATCCTGACTAAGAAATATATCACTGTTCCTTCACAATTGCTGCGTTAAAATCCTGGAATTCCCTACCAGCACTCAGAGGGTGGTGCATGTATAGAATGACCTGCCAGAGAAAGTGGTGAAGGCAGATACAATTACAACATTTAAAAGGCATCTGAATGGGTACATGAATAGGAAGGGCTTAGAGGGATATGGGCCAAATGCTGGCAAATGGGCCTAGGTCAGATTGGGATGTCTGATCAGCACGGAAAAGTTGGGCCAAAGGAGCTGTTTCTATGCTGTAAGACTCAATGACTACAGGGATTCAAGAAAGTAGCTCACCATCACCTTCTCCAAAACATTTGGGAATGGGCAATTACTACTGGCCAAGTCAGCCCGTCTGCATCCCATGAATGAATAAAAGGGGGAAAAAAATTAAATGTGTTCTCTCCTGCTTTTTTCCCAGGTAACCAAAATAAACCTGGAGGCCCAGAGAGTGGAACAAAACCTTAGAGATGAGTTGGCCAACAGCGTAAGCCAAGCAGTGAGTAATGCAGACAGGAGCCGCATCACAGAGCTGGAGAAATCAGAATCTGAGTTAAAAGTTGAGGTGTCCAAGTAAGTTAATAGTATTGTAGAATGTGATTTTGTTTATTATTATTTGGCTTAAGAGACAACAAGCTGTTTGATGACATGTCCTCTCTTTCCCCAAATCTGATGCTTCTTCTGCCAAGAGCAATACAACTTTCAAATGCATTCCTATTTTTATATAAAGAAATGACAACAATGTTCATGGAATGTTCTTATCTATCAGGTTAAGAGATATCGCCGATGTAGCGAAAATGCAGGTTTCAGCCTTGGAAGCCCTCCAGCAGTCTAGGGAGAAAGAGGTGGAGGCACTTAGGAAGCAAGTACTTGATTACCAGGTTAGGACATATTTTTCATTTTTACATTTGAACAAAAGCTTTTCCTTCAGAAACATGTTAAGAATGTTATTGGTCAGACTTTAGACCAATATTTTAAATTGCCGCTGACAGAACTTCAAAATAATCAGTGATTTGATTGGTCCGGGTAATTTTTTGCAAATAAGATTCCTTTCCAGAATACTGATGCAAGTCTTAACCTGTGTTATCTTTTGATTGCTTAGCTGTTTGTGAACACAACGTTTGAGTCAATTGCAAAAGGCTTTTAACAGTTGTTGGTATATTAAAGACATTTACATTTTGCACACTACAACTTCACAGTTTATGCAAAAACACAGAGAGCAGTATTTTAAACTACAGATTAACTTAACAATAGATTGTTGACTGATCCAACGTTCTCCACTTCTATTGTCGCATATGAGAATTTTAATAGAAATGGTGTACCATAAGAGGCAAATTTTTTACACGGGGTGATTCACGTGTGGAATGAATTTCCTGATGAAGTGGTGGATGTGGGTACAATTACAACATTTAAAAGAATTTGGATGGATATATGAATAGTAAAGGTTTGGAGGGAAATGGGCCAGGAGCAGACAGGTGGGACTAGTTTAGTTTGGGATTATGTTTGGCATGGACTGGTTGCACCAAAGGGTCTGTTTCCATGCTGTTTGACTCTATGACTCTATTATCCCCAATTGCCTCCCATTAAAAGAAATTAATCCATTGTACATCAGAATGATTGATTATATTTGTGCATTTGTAACCATCATTGATGGTTAAAAACCCATCTGGTTGACTAGCACCTGTTAGGAGAGGAAATCTGCCATCCTTACCCAGTCTGACCTGCACATGACTCAAGACCTACCACAATGTGGCTGACTTTTAACTGACCTCTCAAGCAAGTTGCTCAGTTCAAGGACAAACAGGGATAGGCAACAATTGCTTCCCTTGTCAGAGACATCTGCATTCCATGAAAGAAAACAAAAATCTAAGCCAATGTGAGAAAATGAAAAATATTGTTCTAGATAGAGACATTTTAAGACTTTCTTAATCTATTCAGGATTTAATAGAGTTAACTTTGTGTTTCAACAGAAATACTTAACAAATGTAGTATAAATAAATTAGGGTTTTCTCAATTTCTGTTAAGTCATTACACAGTCATACACTCCAGAATGATTTGGGATTTATGTTTGTCATCTGTACATTATCAGTGACATGTTAAGGAACCTTTACATGCAGGTGTTTTGATATTGATTTTATTGATGGGTTCATTTACTAATGGAGATGGGAGATAACCTTTGTATGATATAACTGTGTACATGATCTGTGTACTTGATGCTAACCTTGGGTCTCCCTAGTGTTCAATCCACAACTAAATGCTGAAAATCTGAAATAAAATACTGGAAAATTTGTCAGCAGTGTCAAATGGCAATTGTAGGTGGAAAATGGAATAAACATTTTAGCTCTCAGCGGAGAGATTGAAGATACTGGGGTTGTTGTTCTTAGGACAAGATTCTTGGAGAAGATTTGACAAAATTTGTCAAAATCATGAAGGATTTTGATATAATAAAAAATGAGAAATTGTTTTCAATGACCAAAGGGTCAGCAGTAATGTAAGGCAGTTTTCTGTTATTAAGTAAAAGAAGTAGAAGCAGCATGAGGAACACAGTTTCTTTTGATCTAGAATGCATGATTTGAAACGGTGGTAAAAACAGGTTCAAAAGTTACTTTCAAGAGGAAATTGTATAAACGTTTAAGGGGAAAATATTTATAGAACTATGGGGAAAAGCAGAGGAACGGTTCTAATTAGATAACTCTTTGAAAGAATCAGAGCAGGTAAGTAGAGCCAAATAGCCCTCCTGTGTCATTTTGGATGAAAAATCATCTGGAACATTGTTTTAGTAGTCCATTGACGATGCATGTTCTGTAGAGAGTATTCCAGCGTTTTAGTTTTTTTATTAACATCAAATCCATCAAAACAAATTGCTAAGAATAGCTCAAAAGGTCAGAACGCCCACTATTGGCTATATAGTCTGTATACATACCTGTTCATTATATTCTTCTCATTCAGGCACAGTCAGATGAGAGGGCTCTCATTGCAACATTGCATCAACACATTATCGCGTTGCAGGTGAGTGAAGCCACTGCTGTTAGCAAGCTGCAGGCATTTGCAAGTAAGCTGCAAAAAATGGAGGCCTGCAACCTGCGGCTGATGCAGAAGCTGGATGAGAAGGATCAGACCCTTTTCCACACCCGGCTAGAAGGCAGGAACAAGGCCAAGCACCTGCGACAGACTATTCAGTCCTTACGCAGGCAGTTCAGTGGAGCCCTACCTCTTGCACAACAAGAGAAGTTCTCAAAGACTATGATGCAGCTACAGGATGACAAGCTGAAGATAATGCAGGATGTTAAACGTTCCCAAGAGGAGAGGAGAGTGGCAGAGGACAAGGCTTTGGAACTGCAACTGAAGCTGAAGGGGCTAGAGGAATTGATAGGATCATTAAAGGATGCAAAAGGAGCACAAAAGGTTGGAAAGTTTTAAAAGTAAATTATGGTTGTTGTTTCTTAATATGTGTTGAACTGGCAGAGTTCCCATGATAAAATGAAGAACTGCGGATGCTGGAGAAATTGCTCGAGAAACGCAGCAGGTCTGGCAACATCTGTGGAGAGAAATCAGAGTTAACATTTTGAGTTTGGTGATTCTCCATTCTGAGAGATGTTGCCAGACCTGCTACGTTTCTCGAGCAATTTCTGTTTTACTTCAGGTTTCCTGTGACTTTGTTTTTGGGAATTCAGTTTTTATAGTTAAATGTGACAGTATTTGTGACATTTACAGGAAACATGCAGTAGATTCAGGAGTTCTAATATCCAGAGTGAATATGGACACCATTGTGCCAGCCAGTGTATTGGAGACGATGTAGACTATACAGGCAGGAATTGTGGAATTGTTATAATACAGAAGGATGCCATTGTCCCATCGTGTCTACATCAGCAATCTGAGCATTGGTGCCTTTTTCCTGTCTTTTTCCATAACCCCACTCATTGTTTCTATTTAAATAATCATCCAATGCCCTCTTGCTAAAATCAGTAATTCCACCCACAATATGTAAATAAACATTTAACGGTAAAATGACTACCATCTATGAAGGATGCCCTTTGAGCACAGATAGTACCCTGCTCCCTCTCCTGCTCTGCCAACATTGCAACCCCCTTCCACGACCCATGAAATCCTTCCTAAAATACTCAAACCCTCCCTGCCCGGTATGTCCAAATTCTAATACTCTGGATCCAGGGGCCTTCTTTGTTGGCCTGGGAGCAGTTTCAGCAGTGTCCACTACCAAGCTCCGGGATTGCCAGACTGCAAGAGTTGCCAATAAATCTGATTATCCGGCATCTCTGAAGAATAGGATACCTTCCCCCATGAATGACAAAAGCTCCATTCTGCCCTTATTATTGCCACCCTCAATGTAATATCCGTGCAGGCAGACATGTTGTTCTTTGGTCAGTTTCCATCTGACTTTTTACTTGGATTATGAGTTGTCAGCTCACCTGTAAAATAAAACCCATGATTTGAAGAATTCCAAGAGTGGGACCTAAATATTAAAGATATTTAACAAACCAAAAAGATAGGAATCTAGGAAAGGATGATGGGGAAACTGTGTTAACTAAGGATGTCAAAATAGTTGTGAGAGATTACCTTGATCTGATAGAGCAAACAATCAATTTGGGTAGGATTAGGAATTGGTTAAGACAAGTAGTTACGTATGAGACTAATTTCTAGGCCCCGTAAAAGTAATTACCTTGTAGGGCTGTGTATTCTAAAAAAACTATATGGGATGTAAGAAAGGTACCGCAATAATAATGGGCGATTTCAGATTATGTGTAGATTGGATGAGTCAGATTGGCAAAGGTAGCCTGGAAAATTAGTTCAGAGGGTACTTTTAGGATAGTATGTTATGAATTCGACCAAGGAGCAAACTGTCCAAGAACTGATAATGAGCAGTGTGACACGATTAATTGATAAGGTCATAGTGAGGAAGCCTCTTAGTTACAGCGATTGCAATGTGATTGAATTTCTTGTTCTGAGGCAGAGTAGAATAAGTCCAAGACTAGTGTTTAAATCTGAGTCAAGGTAATTATAATATTGTGTGATAGCAAAAGTGAACTAAGAAACTAGGTTAAAGATAAGACAGTCGAGATGCAGTGGCAGACTTTTAAGGAGAATTTTAATAATTCTCAAAAAAGATTTATCCCCACTTTTGTTTTGAGAAAGATACATCATCCATGGCTAAATAGGGAAGCAAAAGATAGAAACAAATCTACAAAAAGTTAAGAACCACCGAAGAATTTTTTTTTAAAAAAGGAGAAAAAGAATACAAGAGAAAGTTATTAATAATATAAAAACAGACAGTAAAAGTTCTTACAAGTATTTAAATTGGAAAAGAGTAGCATTAGGTAGTGCAATTGTAGAAAACTTCAATAACTTCCAAAGATCCTTGAAATCAAGAAATGAATGGGAGGGAAGAATGGAAAGCAATCACCATCCCAGGGGCAAATTATTGGGAAAACTGTGACTTAAAGGCTGACAAGACACCAGGCATAGATAACCAGCACCCTATGGCCTAACTGAAGTATCTGCAGAAATAGTAGATGTATTGGTTATAAATTTTTAAAATTTCTTAGATTCTGGAAAATTAACACCTTTATTCAAGAAAGAAGGGAGTCAGAAAATAAGAAATTCCAAGGCCGTTAGTCTAATATCTGTCATACGGACATTGCAGTTTCCATTCCATTGGGGAGATCAAAAGCAAACTGGATGACCATTTTGCAGAAGATCTCCACTCAGCCTACAAGCATGATCCTGACCTTCTGATGACCTGCTATTTCAATGCATCACCTTGTTCCCATGCTCATATTTCTGTCCTAGACATAGAACATAGAACATAGAACATTACAGCGCAGTACAGGCCCTTCGGCCCTCGATGTTGCGCCGACCTGTGAAACCAATCTGAAGCCCATCTAACCTAAACTATTCCATTATCATCCATATGTTTATCCAATGACCATTTAAATGCCCTTAAAGTGGGCGAGTCGACTATTTTTGCAGGCAGGGCATTCCACGCCCTTACTACTCTCTGAGTAAAGAACCTACCTCTGACATCTGTCCTATATCTATCACCCCTCAATTTAAAGCTATGTCCCCTCGTGCTAGCCACCACCATCCGAGGAAAAAGGCTCCCACTGTCCACCCTATCTAATCCTCTGATCATCTTGTATGTCTCTATCAAGTCACCTCTTAACCTTCTTCTCTCTAACGAAAACAGCCTCAAGTCCCTCAGCCTTTCCTCATAAGACCTTCCCTCCATACCAGGCAACATCCTGGTAAATCTCCTCTGCACCCTTTCCAATGCTTCCACATCCTTCCTATAATGCGGTGACCAGAACTGTACGCAATACTCCAACTGCGGCCGCACCAGAGTTTTGTACAGCTGCAACATGACCTCATGACTCCGAAACTCAATCCCTCTACCAATAAAACCTAACATACTGTACGCCTTCTTAACAATGCTATCAACCTGGGTGGCAACTTTCAGTGATCTATGCACATGGACACCGAGATCTCTCTGCTCATCCACACTACCAAGAATCTTACCATTAGCCCAGTACTCTGTATTCCTGTTACTCCTTCCAAAGTGAATCACCTCTCATTTTTCCGCATTAAACTCCATTTGCCACCTCTCAGCCCAGCTCTGCAGCTTATCTATGTCCCTCTGTAACCTGCAACATCCTTCCGCACTATCCACAACTCCACCGACTTTGGTGTCATCCGCAAATTTACTAACCCATCCTTCTACGCCCTCATCCAGGTCATTTATAAAAATGACAAACAGCAGTGGCCCCAAAACAGATCCTTGAGGTACACCACTAGTAACTGAACTCCAGGATGAACATTTCCCATCAACCACCACCCTCTGTCTTCTTACAGCTAGCCAATTTCTGATCCAAACCGCTAAATCACCCTCAATCCCATGCCTCCGTATTTTCTGCAAGAGCCTACCATGGGGAACCTTATCAAACGCTTTACTGAAATCCAAATACACCACATCAACCGCTTTACCCTCATCCACCTGTTTGGTCACCTTCTCGAAGAACTCAATAAGGTTTGTGAGGCACGACCTACCCTTCACAAAACCGTGTTGACTATCCCTAATCAAATTATTCCTTTCTAGATGATTATAAATCCTATCTCTTATAATCCTTTCCAACACTTTACCCACAACCGAAGTTAGGCTCACTGGTCTATAATTACCAGGGTTGTCTCTACTCCCCTTCTTGAACAAGGGGACAACATTTGCTAGCCTCCAGTCTTCTGGCACTATTCCTGAAGACAATGACGACATAAAGATCAAAGCCAAAGGCTCTGCAATCTCCTCTCTAGCTTCCCAGAGAATCCTAGGATAAATCGCATCCGGCCCAGGGGACTTATCTATTTTCACACCTTCCAGAATTGCTAACACCTCCTCCTTATGAACCTCAATCCCGTCTAGTCTAATAGACTGTATCTCAGTATTCTCCTCGACTACATTGTCTTTTTCCTGCGTGAATACTGACGAAAAATATTCATTTAGCACCTCTCCTATCTCTTCGGACTCCACGCACAACTTCCCACTACTGTCCTTGACCGGCCCCAATCTTACTCTAGTCATTCTTTTATTCCTGACATACCTATAGAAAGCTTTAGGGTTTTCCTTGATCCTACCTGCTAAAGACTTCTCATGTCCCCTCCTGGCTCTTCTTAGCTCTCTCTTTAGGTCCTTCCTGGCTAACTTGTAACTCTCAAGCGCCCTCACTGAGCCTTCACGCCTCATCTCTACATAAGCCTCCTTCTTCCTCTTGACAAGAGATTCAACTTCTTTAGTAAACCACGGTTCCCTCGCTCGACCACTTTCTCCCTGCCTGACAGGTACATACTTCTCAAGGACACGCAGTAGCTGTTCCTTGAACAAGCTCCACATTTCAATTGTGCCCAGCCCCTGCAGTTTCCTTCTCCATCCTATGCATCCTAAATCTTGCCTCATCGCCTCATAATTGCCTTTCCCCCAGCTATAACTCTTGCCCTGCGTTATATACCGATCCCTTTCCATCGCTAAAGTAAACGTAACCGAATTGTGGTCACTATCACCAAAGTGCTCACCTACCTCCAAATCTAACACCTGGCCTGGTTCATTACCCAGTACCAAATCCAATGTGGCCTTGCCTCTTGTTGGCCTATCTACATACTGTGTCAGGAAACCCTCCTGCACACATTGGACAAAAACTGACCCATCTGAAGTACTCGAACTATAGCATTTCCAGTCAATATTTGGAAAGTTAAAGTCCCCCATAACAACTACCCTGTTACTTTCGCTCCTATCCAGAATCATCTTTGCAATCTTTTCCTCTACATCTCTGGAACTTTTCGGAGGCCTATAGAAAACTCCCAACAGGGTGACCTCTCCTTTCCTGGTTCTAACCTCAGCCCATACTACCTAAGTAGACGAGTTGTCATCAAATGTCCTTTCTGCCACCGTAATACTGTCCTTGACTAACAATGCCACACCTCCCCCTCTTCTACCACCTTCCCTGATCTTACTGAAACATCTAAACCCCGGAACCTGCAACAACCATTCCTGTCCCTGCTCTATCCATGTCTCCGAAACGGCCACAACATCGAAGTCCCAGGTACCAACCCATGCTGCAAGTTCACCCACCTTATTCCGGATGCTCCTGGCATTGAAGTAGACACACTTCAAACCACCTTCCTGCCTGCCGGTACACTCCTGCGACCTTGAAACCTTATTTATGACCTCACTACTCTCAACCTCCTTTACACTGGAGCTACAATTCAGGTTCCCACCCCCCTGTTGAATTAGTTTAAACCCTCCCGAAGAGCATTAGCAAATTTCCCCCCCAGGATATTGGTACCCCTCTGGTTCAGGTGTAGACCATCCTGTTTGTAGAGGTCCCACCTACCCCAGAATGAGCCCCAATTATCCAGGTATCTGAATCCGTCCCTCCTGCACCATCCCTGTAGCCACGTGTTCAACTGCTCTCTCTCCCTATTCCTCGCCTCACTAGCACATGGCACGGGTAACAAACCAGAGATAACAACTCTGTTTGTTCTAGCTCTAAGCTTCCACCCTACCTCCTTGAATTTCTGCCTTATGTCCCCATCCCTTTTCCTACCTATGTCGTTGGTGCCTATGTGGACCACGACTTGGGGCTGCTCCCCTCCCCCTTAAGGATCCCGAAAACACGATCCGAGACATCACGGACCCTGGCACCTGGGAGGCAACACACCAACCGCGAGTCTCTCTCGTTCCCACAGAATCTCCTATCTGTCCCCCTAACTATGGAGTCCCCAATGACTAATGCTCTCCTCCTCTCCCCACTTCCCTTCTGAGCAACAGGGACAGACTTTGTGCCAGAGACCTGTACCCCATGGCTTACCCCTGGTAAGTCGTCCCCCCCAACAGTATCCAAAACGGTATACCTGTTTTTGAGGGGATTGGCCACAGGGGATCCCTGCACTGTCTGCCTGTTCCCTTTCCGTCCCCTGACTGTAACGCATCTACTTTTTTCCTGTACCTGAGGTGTGACTACCTCCTCGTAACTCCTCTCAATTACCCCCTCAGCCTCCCGAATGATCCGAAGTTCATCCAGCTCCAGCTCCAGTTCCCTAACACGGTTTCCGAGGAGCTGGAGTTGGGCGCACTTCCCGCAGATGAAGTCAGTGGGGACACTAGTGGTGACCCTTACCTCCCACATTCTACAGGAGGAGCATACAACTGCCCTAACATCCATTCCCACTGTTCTGAATTCCCAAACAGACAAATTAAAAAAAAATACTAGTAGCCTTACCAAATCAGCGCTCAGAACCTTTTTTTTTGGTTAGAGGAGGAGGATGGGTGGGAGACACTACCTAGGTAGTGTTTTGGGTAAAGCAACCGCGCAAATATATTACCTCACTTACTCCAAAAATGGAGTCACGCGAGGTAAGACTTTTATAATCGAAAAGTTCACCTTCCCAGGCTGCCCTCGCGCTTCCTCCCGGACTCCCGCCGCTGAAACAACTGAAAGGCCGCAGTCACGCGAGGTAAGACTTTTATAATGGAAAAGCTCACCTTCCCAGGCTGCCCTCGTGCTTCCTCCCGGACTCCCGCCGCTGAAACAACTGAAAAAGGACCTGCTGCAATATTCCAATAAAGCACAAAATAAACTGAAGGAACAATACTTCATTGTCCATTTAGTCACTTAATATCCTTGTAGACTCAACATTGAGTTCAACAATTTTCGGACCATGAACTGTCACATTTATTGTATTATTGACGAGCTGTAGCAGGTCAAATGCTACAGGAATCATTGCTGGGGCCTCAGCGATTTGCATTCTTTTCCAATAACTTGGATGAACTGGTACATGAATCACAAAAAGGTTAGTATGCAGATACAGCAAGTAATTAGGAAGGCAAATGGAATGGTGGTGTTTATTGCAAGGAGATGGAGTGCAAAATTAGAAAGTTTTACTGTCAGTGTTCAGGCCTTTCGTGAGACCACATCTGGAGTACACTGTACAGTCTTGGTCTCCTTGTTTAAAATAAGATATAGTTACATTAGAAGTTGTACATTTGATTCATTCCTGAGATGCAAACCTTAATTTGTGAAGGAATATTGAAGTGGTTGGTCCTTTACCCATGGGAGTGCCCACTGAAGTTTAAAAGAATGAAAGATGATCATATCAAAATATGTATAATTGAAATAATATTTTGAAAGAAAGTAGAATTGAGATTATTACCAGATTATGCATGATCATTGATCCTGCTCCATGTCCTATGTAAGCCTTCAGGTGAAATGGGATTAGAAAGCAGTGTGTATACTTTTTAAGTCATACTTTGTTTATTTACTCCACATTACTGAATATTATTAATAAAGAGTAACAGCACTTTAGCAAGATACGGAAACTTGGACAGCAGTGACGTAGACTTGATAGTCTGTATTGCAAAGAAGCTGCTGTTCTCCAGATATGAATATGGATGCAATATGAAATCACCACAATGTCGTCAGTTGTTGGAGGTGATTGTAACAAATTTACTTAGGGAGTTTTCATTCTAAATAAGAACATGGGAATTTACAGGGAGAAGTTGACAAATTGAGTAAATTCTGTTGTAGTTGTTAGTGCAGAGTTTGTTTCAGCAGTTTGTTTGACAAATTGGCTGACAATTTATATAGATGCCAGTTTAGGCAATAGTGTTTTCAAATTGTTGGTTTTGCATATTTATCCAGTTTTAGGTATTGTTAGATTTTCTGTGCCATTATACTCACTTTCTTTTCAACAGGTAATTGAATGGCACAAAAAAATTGAGGAGCTCCGTCTCCAAGATCTCAAAACAAATCGAAGTATAAACAAGCAAAAGGAAGAAATAACTTACTTAAACAATATAATAACTGAGCTGGAGCACACCATCAACAATCTAGAAGAAGAGACGGTTCAACAAAACAAGGTGAACATCTTCAGCCCATGACAAACATTGGCATTGTTAGACCATAAAGACCATTTCATCCATCTGGTTCACTTGCCAGCTACAATTGTACATGAGTGGTTGGCTAATCTGAGCAATTGCTGGCAGTTAGTCCACGACAGATGCAGGCATGAGCCCAGAACAATACCATCCCCCACCCG